CTAAGTAAGTAATGATGCTATGTTTAGAAGAACACAAGACAGTTTAAATAAGGAAGCAATTGGTGATTCTTACACATTAATTAGAATTATAGTTGTGTTTATTTACTTCAAAGTAAAACCTTTGTCTGCAGGTCCATTTAAGGTTCCTATTTCAGTAGTATAGCTATCTCCAAGAAAAGAGATCATTATCAAAAAGTGAGGACAATGAGATTTCTTACATGCTGACCATTACAGTCTGTCACATGACCTGAATGAAGCAGTTGGCTTTTGCCCCAGTTAGATCTATTTTACAATCCCAGTGTTGCAGTTTGGATGCATCTGACTACTTTGTACTTTGAACTTACTTATCAAGTTGTAGAATTTATATTTAGAAGGCAAATTCCACCTTATGACTCTTCATGAACTTTATACATACAGGCAGTCCCCAAGTTACGAACAAGACAGGTTCTGAAGGTTTGTGCTTAAGTTGAATTTGTTGGTAAATCAGAACAGGTACATTTTTGAAGTGTAACTCTGGCCATACACACACACACACGTGTGTGTGTGTGTGTGTGTGTGTGTGTAAGCTTTGGATAGCATAGGAAGTATTACACCCCTGTGGTATTTGTTTTGTTGTCTGTGCCGTTCTTCAGAAGGTTTCACCTCACTTTCTGTCCCTGTGATAACTAGATTTTGAATAATTTGGCTTGTTGTGGAAACAAGGACTGGTGAGAAAGCTTCAGCTGAGACATCTTTTCCCCATGATAACTCTTCCAGAAGTGAATTTCCCTTCCAAGGGGCAGATTTCTCTTCCTTTCTCTCTTTCCTCTTGGTGACTCAGAGCCAGACAGTCATCAGCCCTTCCCTCTTCGGTGGCCTCCCTGCTCCTGTCCTGGCTGCCTCCTTGCCCTCCCCATTCCCTGCCCAAAGCAAACCCTTGAAAGGGGCACCTGGGAGAAGACAAGAGGGAAATAAGGTTTTGTAACTCAGAGACTGCTTGTATTTAGTGAAAAACTACCTTAATACCAACTGATTCCATCCTTCTTGCTATATACCCTGTTAAGAGTGACCTAATCCTGGCAATAGCTCTATATTTTAAAAGAGAGGAACACAGAGCACATGAGCATCTTTCAGTGTCATAACATGCCTTGTGCAGTGAACCAATGCCAATTTCCTAAGTTGAAATGAGACATTATACTATCAGTCTTGATTTCAGCTACTGCAAACACACACACACACACACACACACACACACAACTGCTAAACTTAGGAATATGTTCTGGAGCTGTTTAAACATTTTGAGGGTAACAACTTTAAAACATTTCCCATGTAGATAGCTTAGATTTATAGGGGGAAATGTATGAAATTCTGTTGGCTCACTAAATAAAATTCTACATAATATATTTGTCCATTCACAAAGGAGACAGAAAAAGTCTACTCAACTCTTGGAAAAGTAACTTTCTCAGAGCACAAAACTGTATTCAGCACAGTTGGGAGTGAGAAAGGGCTATGTGTCAATGTGGACGCAAGTCTGATTCTCTGGTTTATACTGCCCATAGATGTGCTCAGAGACAGATGGAGAAAGAGATGTAACAAAGGAACATTGGGAGATAACTGCAGACCAGAAAGGACACTGCTTGAGGCTTCAAAGCATCCTAAGATTCCTAAAGTAACTGAGCTGAGTAGTGCTGCCCTTGAAACTCCTCATTTTTGGGGGGAGTAAGGTAGATGCACAAATGTGTTTTCTTTACCACCATCTATACCACACTCCTTCATCAGGTCATTCAGGACATCTCCATGAGCCAGTCGGATCTTCCTTCTTTCAGCAGCCAGAGTGTGCTCTATGACATCTTGTGCAGTGAGAAGGTGGACTGGTTTTAAGTCAACCTAAACATAATGTTAAACATTGATTAATCAAGCAAGAGTTGAATTCTGTTTTTGAACCTATAAAGCAAGAGTAGCATCTAGAATGTATTTTGATATTTTTATGTGAAGTTAAATTCATGCTGTACTGAAAGAACTGTTTGCTAAATAACGTCTTGACATATATTTTTCACATTTTACAGATTTTCCTGAATGTTGCTGTCTTTTAAATTTGCAAAAAGAAAAAAGAAGCTGTCTTAGCTTTTTAAACTGTTTTTTGTTTTTAGAAAATAAGATGTGAAACATACATTTGCATAGGCTGAACATGGTAACTCTATTGTAATTGCAATGAACTTGTGTCGAACTGTCACAGGAAAGGTCTTTGCTGAATTTTCAATTATATTATTTTTACTATATGTGATACAGAAGAAATAGCTTTTCATCTTAAAAACCATAAATCTGCGGAGTTTGTGTATGCGTGGTTGGGGGAGGGGACAATCAATTTTCTGGGCTACAACTCCCAGAATCAATAAATATTATTTATTTAGTTATTTACTTCATTTATACCTTGCCTTTCTCACCTCACAGTGGACTCGAGGTGGCTTACCAACTCTGGCAAAAATTTAATGCTGCATCAGCATGGCCATTTTGGAGTGCCCTGCAATCTTAATACAAATTGCATACAAACTAACTCATTTTGTAGCCCAGCCTACAATTTCCCTAAACTGGCTTAAATGAGGGAAAGATAAGCATTAGAGACTGGATTTCCTCAGGAAAACCAAAAACATCCATCCTCCAAATAGTTCAGGAAGCGACTGCAAGATTAATTTCTTGGTCACCTTGTTAGGAGAAAGGCCTTCTATAGGCCTAAAACAGTCTTGGGGGTTATACTACAATGAAACCATTCCCTTATGCCCTCTAGAACAGTAGTTTCCAACCTGTGGTTCATGGACCACCAGTGGTCCTCAAGAACTAAAATATGCTTTGCAGCCTCATTGTTACTACACTGTTGCAATGAGAGTGACCAGTCTCGTGAAACTCTTATAGTGCTGAGGCAATGGGGATGTTACGAGGGGAGAGTTTGACTATCCATGAAAGGCACAACAAAGCCTCCTGACTGCTGCTTCTCCTCCTCATCCCTCTCCCTGAGCAAAGCTGTTCCATGTGGCGCATGGAAGCGGGGACACCTTGGTGACTTCATTTTTAGGCCTGTGCCAGGGATTATTTTGGGTCCTGATTCAGAAAATTGCATTGGGTAGACCACATCAGCTCTAGATTATTAAATATGTGGGGGTGAGCAGATGGCAACTACTAGATTGCATATGTTCTGTATCAAAAACTAGAGTTGATATGGTATATTCAATGCAATTTTCTGAATCAGCACCCCAAATAACCAAACCAAATCTAAAGTTGACTAGAAACTGATTGGTAACCCTTTTGGTACTAATGTTGGAGAGTGGTCCCTGGTCAAAAAAAGGTTGGGAACCACTGCTCTAGAACAGTGTTTCTCAATCTCCCTAATGCTGCGACCCCTTAATGCAGTCCCTCATGTTGTGGTGACCCCCAACCATAACATTATTTTCATTGCTACTCATAACTGTAATGTTGCTACTGTTATGAATCTCAATGTAAATATCTGATATGCAGGATGTATTTTCATTCATTGAACCAAATTTGGCACAAATACCTGATACACCCAAATTTCAATACTGGTGGGGTTGGAGGGGATTGATTTTGTCATTTAGGAGTTCTGGTTGCTGGGCTTTATAGTTCACCTACAATCAAAGAGCATTCTGAACCCCACCAACGATGGATTTGAACCAAACTTCCACGATCAACAGAAAATACTGGAAGGGTTTAGTGGGCATTGACCTTGAGTTTTGGAGTTGTAGTTCATCTAGAGAGCACCGTGGACTCAATCAATTATTTATCTGGGCCAAACTTGCCATAGATACTCAATATGCCCAAATATGAACACTAGTGGAGTTTGGGAAAAATAGACCTTGACATTTGGAAGTTGTAGTTGCTGGATTTTATAGTTCATTTACAGCGAAAGAGCATTCTGAACCCCATCAACGATAGAACTGGGCCAAACTTCCCACAAAGAACCCCCATGATCAACAAAAAATACAGTGTTTTCTGATGGACGTTGGTGACCCCTCTGACATCCCCTCACAACCCCCACAGGGGTCCTGACCCCCAGGTTGAGAAATGCTCTAGAATGTATTAGGAGCATGATAAAAGACACTGGGGTCAACTAAACCAACCAATGGGGCAAATTATCCCCATCCTGGTGTAATTCCAATGCAACAGTGGTATAGATTGCCATATTCTACTTTATCAAATCTATTCTAATTATTAAAATGTCTTCAATATACATCCCATTACAAGATTCAGCACACTAGTTGTTCCGTGTTTTCTCCTACTAAATTTCATCCTTTACATCATTTGTAACAACTGATCTGAAAGTACAAATGCAGAGTGATGATAAAGTGCAGGATGTGGAACTGGGAGATCCAAGTTCAAACCTCTGCTTAGTCATGGAATTTAGCATGTGACCTTGGGCTACCATAATCTTTCAACCAATCTACCTTACATGCCCCCTCCTTTCTTTCATGCTTTCCTTTCTCTCTCCCTTCCTTGTGACTGACTCCCTCATTTTACCTGGTGCCCTTGCAATGTATTTTTCCATTTTCTCTTGTGTTTCACTCCTTGAACCATCATTTTCCCTTTCTTCACATTCACTTCCTACCCCCAACTTGTGCCTACACAGAGTACTTGCTTATTCTGCTATGTTACTCGCCTGCCCACTCTTCCCTTCCTCCTAACCTTTCCTCACCGGACACCATCACAATGTGTCCCATCCTTGGCTCCAAACTAGATATCCCTCCTTCTCCTGAAACTACGACACCTGCATAGCTCCTCAAATGTTTGAACCACAAGGGAATCACTAAATTATTAGCAATTGTGAAACATGGCACTTCAAGCTTGGGCAGTAGAGAATTAAACTCCACAACCTCCTTTGTTACCCTTTTTTTTTGGGGGGGGGCGGTATTTCCTAACAAATCTATCAGATACCATTTCAAAGTTCTACCTGGGAACATACTTATGAGAGGTGTAACGGGTCTTAGTCTAACATCCTTTTATAATGTACAGTTAAGAGTTCAATAAGATGAAGATTCCACTAATCCTTCCCCACAAGGGAATACATGATTCTTATATTCAATTTGTTTTAAAATGTCCCTCTATGTTGAATCTAGCTTTGCTGAATACAGCTGGTATTTAGAAATACAATGGGAACATATAACGTTCTTGAAAGGGTGAAATCTAGTGTAATGCTAGCATACTTTCTTATCCTTTAAGTTTTTCTTCTCCTCTCCGTTTCCCTCCTAGCCCACCCCTCATACACTTTCCCCAAATCCCAGCTTTGATATGCACTGATGGGATCTCATCACACTAGAGAAAAATCACTTAAAATATGGTTTCTGCCTCTTGCAGAATTCTGGGGTTTGTAGTTTAGGGAGGAGCCTTTAACAGCCTCACTAAACTACAAACTTCAGGATTCTGCAGGAGGAAGAAACCAGATTTTGAGTGGATTTTTTCTCTACTGTGATGAATAAGAAAGGAATCTTGTGATTATGGTAGCCAGCTTGATGTTCATGAATGCTATAATCGGGTAGGGAAAAACAAGCTCCAAGTTCAGCATTACTAGAAAGACCTGAAAACACAATTGCAATATCATGCATCTAGATCTGGAATAATGTGGACAGTTCTGATTACTATACCAAAGATATTTTAGAGGTGATAAAGATGCAGAAAAGGATAACTGAAGTAAATCCCTTATGAAAAAAAAGTTACAAGAGTCAGTTCAGTTGTAATTTTACGAGGTCTTTAGCTTTTTTTGTCAAAGAGTGACAGAAATACAAAACAAAAGATTATGTAACTTTGACTCATTGCAGTTAAAGTGGTGTCAAACCGCATTAATTCTACAATGTAGATACACCCTTGGGCCCTCTGGTGGTGCAGCGGGTTAAACAGCAGAGCTGCTGAACTTGCTGACTGAAAGGTTAGCGGTTTGAATCTGGGGAATGGGTGAGTTCCCATTGTTAAACTCAGCTTCTGCCAACAAAGCAGTTCGAAAACACACAAATGTGAGTAGATCAGCAAGTACCACTCCGGCAGGAAGGTAATGGCACTCCATGCACTCATGCTAGCCACATGACCTAGGAGATGTCTATGCGCAACGCTGGCTCTTCGGCTTAGAAATGGAGATGAGCACCACCACCCAGTCAGACATGACTAGACTTCATGTCAAGGGAAAACCTTTACCTTTACCTAGATACACACTTAAATGGCTTTAATATATATATAAGTTCTTAGAGGATGAGGCTACTAATGGCAAGTAGTCAAGATAGCTATGTCACCCCCATTATCAGAAGCAGTACGCCTTTATTTATCAATTACTAGTAAGTGCAAAATGGGGATGTGCAGCTGAACTCGTGTCCTTTTGATGGGCTTCCCTTTTGTACAATTGATTGGCCACAATATAAAGAAGAATGTTAGATTAAATGATCCTTCCATCTGATCAAAAATGGCTCTTATATTGTTATGGTTCTCCAATCTTTCAAAGTCTACTTTGAGGGGCTGCAGATCAAAGGGGAAACATTACCCTTCTTGTTCTACTGGTGGCATTCCATTGGTCAGAGAATTTAATTGGATATAATTAGTAATTTGTGATAAATGGGACATGGATGTGTGGTATTGTTTTGCAGGACTGAACTGATAGTTCTATATTGTGGTTTCTATTTTGAAAGGCAGTGTAAAAGTGAATCTCTTAACTAAGATGCAATGCTAATAATTACCTGCACACAAATTTGGTGTTAATAAAATAGTTAAAATGAAGAAATAGATTACCTTTTCATTACAGCCTGGTCTTGCCACATATGTGGAGAAAGCCATGCTAATCAGTTTCTGAACATCAGTAAGGGGATCCTGTAAGGTAACTTTTACACCAACCTATGTATAGATAATAACAGCACCTTTGAACTCAAGGTAGTTTCATCACTTAAAAACACGTTTATCAAATGATAACAACTGTTTTATTCGAGCAGGTCCATGGAGATTCTGGGATTCTGTCTGAAATGTGTTTCTATGTCTACCATATCACTAATTTCTCCAATAAACTGTTGATAATAAGGAATCACATTCCTCTTTCAGTGCACATGATATTGTGCTCCTTGCTTAAACGGCTGCTCAGCAATGTTGAAACTGACTAGCCTTAAGGAAAAAGGCACAAAAGCAGCTTCACAATTTCACCAGAGGAAGGATTATTCACACTTTGCCTTCACACTTGCCAAGTAAAATCTGCCAGATACTTTTTTGAGATTTTGGCTGCAAACTGCACAACGATTTCCCTCTTTTCAAGGGATTTCTTCACTTCATTGATAAAATGTGCACAAGTATTTTAAAAGGTGATTTGTAACAGCAAGTCTATACTAGCTTACAGCATGTGGATTGGATGTTTTACAATTGTACCAGAACATGTGGTTTCAAATTACATGAAAAAGTCCATGGTGGTGCAACGGGTTAAATCATGTTGTCTATCACTGGGCTTTAATATAAATGTAGTACATTAAATGTATTGTTGATGTTTGCTGTATTTTTTATGCTTTATGTCTAAATGTTATTTTATGTTTTAATTTGGTTAGGTTAATTTATATGTTATTGTCTTGCTTTTTTATTTTTTTGTTTTTCACATGTATGTACGGCATTGAATTTTGCCTTTATAATTTTGGAAACAGCTGTGAGTTCCCTTAGGGGGAGAAAAGCGGTATATACATGTAGTAAATAAATGGGAATGCAAAGCAGTTTCCAAAATTATAAAGGCAAAATTCAATGCCATACATACATGTGAAAACCAAAAAATAATAGCAAGACAATAACATATAAATTAACCTAACCAAATTAAAACATAAACATAAAATATTTAGACATAAAGCATAAAAAAACATTTATATGAAAACCCACCTATAAACAAATGATTTAAAAACAGTTAACAGGTGGGCAGTTCAAATCTGTGAGATGGGGTGAGCTCCCGCTGTCAGCCCTAGCTCCTGTCAACCTAGCAGTTTGAAAACATTCAAACATAAGTAGATCAGTAAGTACCGCCTCGGTCAGAAGGTAAAAAAGTTATGCTGACTATGTGACCAGAAGGTGTCTATGGACAATGCAGGCTACTCGGCTTGGAAATGGCAACTCCCCCACTGGCAGAGATGAGCACTGCCTCCAGAGCAGGAGACGAAAGGGGAAGCCTTTTCCTTTGTGTGTGTATTTGTGTTTCATTGTGTGTTTCAAAGGCATTGGATGTTTGCCTGCGTTTGTATATTTGCTGGAATTCTTGGGGAGATAGGGCAGAATACAAATAAAGTGTTATCATATATTATTAAAATTTACATCAACTGTCTCGAAAAATCAGCAGATATTTTTTGGTTTTTACATCATTGTCTGGGCTTAGTCCTCTTACAAACTCAGTGAACAAAATATGTTGACCATATAGAATGCAAACTTTTTAAAAAACCATTGGTTCATTAGGTCTGGGGTCACGAAAGGCAAACGTGTCCCACAACCCATGGTAGTTGCCCATATCTGCCATATATGATACCTTAAAACAAATGAAATGTTGAAAAGTGTCGTTTCTTACCTCCATGCTGGTAGTGAATGCCCGGTTTACCTTTGCATTAATGCTGATAATTTGTCCAACTCTATTAATAACAACAAAAATCCACAATTTCATTACATAATGCAGAATGTTAAGATATATGATGTAACAGTATGTACCTTTTAGACTGTTTTAAATAATATTGATAGTTACAGTTTAGTGTTGATCCTTGGAGGGTATCTGTGCTGTACAATGAATCCAACGGCCCTGGCTCAATGCTATGGGGCCATGGGAGCTGTAGCTTGGGATCATGGGGGCTGCCAAATAATGCTGATACTTCACCAAACTACAAATCCCAACACAGCATGGCATTGAGCCACGGCAATTAAATTAGAGATGGCGTCCCTCAAAGAGGAGCTCCAGATGCAGCTCCTGAAGCAGCTTCCCCTTTTCCTTTGAATGAATTATTTATTTATTTATTTACATTATTTCTATCCCGCCCATTTCAGCCCAAAGGCGACTCAGAGTGGTATACACAGTCGGCACAATTCGATGCCGAAACAAAATACATACATTAATAAAGCAAAAACATCAAGTGCAATTAAACATAAATGACAGTGCATAATAAACAATTTTAAAAGAAACTATGTCCTCTTGTTCAAATCTTCATCCGTTACATTGTCTTGGCCGTTCCTGGGTCAATTTCCAACTCTAGTTTGTCTGTTTACTCCGGGGTTCCGAATGCTTGCTCGATGAGCCAAGTTTTTACTTTTTTTCGGAAAGTCAGGAGGGAGGGGGCTAATCTAATATCCCTAGGGAGGGAGTTCCACAGCCGGGGGGGCCACCACAGAGAATGCCCTGTCTCTCATCCCCGCCAGACGTGCCTGCGAAGCAGGCGGGATTGAGAGCAGGGCCTCTCCAGACGATCTTAAGTTCCTGGAGGGTTCATAGGGAGAGATACGTTCAGAAAGTTAGACTGGGCCAGAACCGTTTAGGGCTTTATAGGCTAAAGCCAGCACTTTGAATTGAGCCCAGCAGCAGACTGGCAGCCAGTGGAGCTGATTCAACAGAGGAGTGGTATGCTCCCTGAGCCCTGCTCCTGTTAGCAACCAGGCTCCCGCACGCTGGACCATTTGAAGCTTCTGGGCTGTCTTCAAAGGCAACCCCACGTAGAACACGTTGCAGTAATCTATACAGGATGTAACCACAGCATGGACTACCGTGGCCAAGTCAGACTTCCCAAGGTACAGGCGCAGCTAGCGCACAAGTTGAACATCAGATTCATGTAATATGGTGAACATTAAGATCACCATATTACATGAATCTAATGCATCTAATGAAGGTAATTTAACCAAAAAGGGTTAGCAATAAATTGAGTAAACATGTTAAATAAGAGAAATGTTTCCTTTTCAGAGTATTTCTCTGATATAGTTAGAATCACATCAATGTGCTTTCTTTTTCTAGAACCGTGGGACCTTGTTTTGGATTATGCAATTTACCAGAATACTCTACACATAAACACTCTGAAGGTCCCTGTCACACCAGCTATGCTCAATCTATAGTTAATTTTGTTTACATATAGGAGGGACATTACTTGGTCCTGTTGCTACCATTGAAGGGTACTGTGAAAGCCATTTATTCTTAACATAGGCACAGGGAATTGGAATTCAAGGAACACTGCTGTGTCACAGACCATTGCATTCCCATTGGTAACTCATAAGGACCTCTGAAGTGTTGCAGACAGCGAGCTCTCAGTTAAAGGTACATGAAGAAAATGCACAAGGAGTGGAAATAATTTAAAGTACAGATGCATGTAAAACAGACAGTGATTCTGAATTCGTACCAGGTAAGAACATAATAGCAAACATTTGTTCTCTAATGAGGTAAAGAAATATTTTCCTAGACTGCTTAAGTGGAAATTTCATTCTCCAAAGAAACCAAAAATACCTACTATATATAAATAGCTATTCCAAATGTGTGTACACGAATACTGTCTTACAGCCAAACCATATAGGATATAGAGATATAGGGATGTGTGGAAGGGCCCGTGGATGTGGAGAATACAATCTGGATTGGGACAATAGCTCAGGGTAGCAGTTGAGTGGCAGAGGCAAGTTTCAACCCTTGGTTTTGCTTCAGATTTGGCCAATCTGCATTTACTCCACTATGGGCTTTTCTTACCTTTTGGTGTAAGGAAGAGGTGTGTGTATGTCTCGGGGCCCTTCCACACATCCTTACATCCCAGAATATCAAGGCAGAAATCCCACATTATCTCAGATAACCCCGTTTAAAGCAGATATTGGGAGATTTTCTGCCTTGATATTCTGGGATATAGGGCTGTGTGGAAAGGCCCTCAGACTAGCACAATATCTTGGGCAAAGGGCCCTGATCTTAAATAGGTCTCTGTGTTTAATTCCCAGGAAGCAGTAAGGACAAAACATAGAAGCATGTTGCTTACATCCAGTTTGGTTCAGAGAGATAAGCAAGGATCAAAAATTGCTTTAAAAACCCCAGAATGCTACACTTGTATGTCTAATTATTCGTTATCATGCTGCCATGGATCTAGGCTATTGCCCTGGTAATACTGTGGATCACCACAATGTAAGCTTTGTAGACAAAGGTCTGTTTACTCAGAAGTAAGTTCCACGGCATTCAATGAGGCTTACTGAATAACATAACATAGCATAAGATTGCAATCTTTCTGTCAAATGTAAATAGTTAACATAACAGACTATAAATGGCTTTTATCTTTGCAGTTATATCATTCTTCTTATCAGCACTAAATGAAGGAAGAGGAACATTGCCTTGCATGCATTTGTTATGACCTGCATATTTTTGAATCCCCACCTTGAATAAACTGTCTTGAATCCCATTTTGGCAGAAAGATGGGATATTCATTCAATAAAATAATAAATAAATAAATAAATAAATAAATAAGATAGTTTACGGATCAGGATTAAAACACAGTGGTGGTCTTTTTTTTCGTGTCAGGAGCGACTTGAGAAACTGCAAGTCGCTTCTGGTGTGAGAGAATTGGCCATCTGCAAGGACATTGCCCAGGGGACTCCCAGATGTTTTGATATTTTACCATCCTTGTGGGAGGCTTCTCTCATGTCCTCACATGGGAAGCCAGAACTGACAGAGGGAGCTCATCCATGCTCTCCCTGGATTTGAGCCTCCGGCCTGTCTGTCTTCAATCATGGCGGCACAAGTCCTGCCTGCTGCGCCACCAGTGGTCGTCTAATTTCCCAAATAAGGTTGTATTTGCTATTTTTTGTGATGTCATATAAATAAATATATGGTATCTTGGTTTTCATTGGAGAACCTTTTTTACAGTGAGACCAGAGGCACTCGAAGTGGACAACTTCTGGTCAAAGGAAATTTAGCATAATGCCAAGGTTTTAACTTTGTTAGTGGTTTTTCTATACATTATAACTGTATTCTCAATTCACTTCTGATACAATAAATATAAATAAAATTCTTGGTTTTCAAAACTATGGATGCCTAAAATGGAAATTCAACTTCATAAAACTGGCAAGGTCTTTCTCACAGAAAAATACAATCAGTTGACTGACATATAATCAGTTTTCAGAAGGAAGAACCTCCTTATTTAAGACAAGATACCTTTCTTGATTTCCTTGCAATTCCATGAATTCAAAGGGAGGGAAATACAATTTTATGACCGCCTTAGGCAATAAGGTATTTTGTCAGTTCCAAGAAAAGAGTAAAAATAGATGACTTAAGTTACAAAGATCAAATGCTCACAGCAAATGCATTATTCGCTTCTGGAAATGACAAAGATCACTAGTCACGCATCATCATCTGTACTACAACCTAGTTTTAAAGTAACCAGAGTTGACTATAGACCAGGCATGAGCAAACTTGGGCCCTCCAGGAGTTTTGGACTCCAATTCCCAGAATTCCTAAAAAGCTAGTAGGCTGTTAGGAATTCTGGGAGTTGGAGTCCAAAACTCCTGGAGGGCCAAGTTTGTCCAGGCCTGTTATAGACTTAATGAGAAAATATTTATGTCTTTTCCACAAATGTGTAGATTTGTGTCTAAGCAGGCAAGTTTTCGCAATGAACTGTTTTCCTTTTGAGGACTCACTAATTACTATTTTGCAATAGTATATGTATTAGTTAACTGCTCTTAAACAGAAAAAGAAGGCTATTATAAGGTTTAGTAATAGCTATGCAAAGCTGTACCTGGCAGTCTCTTCAAACCGTATGTCATCCACCGATGCTGTCACACAGGGAAGGCCAGCATGTTTTTCAGCTTCAAAGAAGAAAAAAGAGAAAAAGATGGTGGAAGAAGAGGGCAGTTACAAATACCAGACAAATATCCCCCTTGCCATATTTGTTTTAGACATGACAGGTTTCATTATCTTTTCAGGCCTACTTTACATGTGTTTTCTTACAAAAATGATATACCAGTATCATCACAGGTTGACTTATTATGTGAGCTCATTCAATATAGTTTCAGTTATTTTCGAAGAGCTTTGAATACAATCCAACTGAACTGGAGGAACTAGCAATGCCCAGATAATTACTCTTTCTAGGTCTAAAGCATGATTCGATGGTCAACTTGCACTGGATCTTCCATTCTGCCAGAAATTAACCATAGAACTGTGTTGAAGGTGTAGAGAGAGAACACTTCTCTAGACATTGTAGGTCCTCCAGCACAATTCTATGAATGGATGAAGCTGGAAGCCCAAGACCTGGTTCATTTCAGGTAAGAATAATAGGGTTACAGATTATACATGAAAAGTGTATTACACAAAAGGTCCTACAATGGATCCTCTGTGTAATACTGCATCCATTTTGCTATGTGTTAATACTGCAATTACAGTGGCAAAGAACTGGTCAAATACTGATGGCTATAGCGGCAGCCAGACTGCTCACCGGAGTGGCGTACAGGGAGCATACAACTACCCTGTTACGTCAGCTCCACTGGCTGCCAGTCTGCTACCAAGGACAATTCAAAGTGCTGGATTTAGCCTATAAAGCCCTAAACAGTTCCGGTTCAGTTTACTTGTCCGAACATATTGCTCTCTATAATCCACCTCAGAGGTTAAGATCGTTGGGGGTGGCCCGGCTCTTAGTCCCACCTCCTTCGCAGGTGTGACTGGTGGGGATGAGAGACAGGGCCTTCTCAGTGGTGGCCCCTCATCAATGGAACTCCCTCCCCAGTTAAATTAGATGAGCCCCCTCCCTCCTGACCTTCAGGAAAAAAACTAATAATATGGCCTTGGGACCAAGCCTATGGCCATCAATGTTTGAGCAGTGCAGTAAGTGATTACAAAATAATACAAAGACGAATGGAACAGCTCTGGATTATGACTTGAATTGCATGGTTTTAATGTTTGATACTTTGTTTGGATTTTAATGTATGTTTTTATTTTATTCGTATGTATTTGTGCATTATCGAATTATTGCCTTTTGTAAGGCCACTCTGAGTCCCCTCTGGGGTGAGAAAGGTGGGATGCAAATGTGGCAAATAAATAAATAAATAAATAAATAATCACTTCCTAATTTGTGTGTGTTTACATCAAAGTTTTCCAAACATTTCAAGTTGGTGACATACCTTTTTAGACATGTATCATTTAGTGACACGGGAATTCAGTTTTACAAGCAAATCCGAAGTTAAACCAAATTCTTATAGAAATTCACACACGTTCATAAATTGCAATTACAAAATATATGGGGATACAACATATCTCATGAAAACCTTTTATTGATATTTCTAGAAATATATGATTGTTGCTTCTAATTAGATCCTTGCAACACACCTACACACTGCAATCTACACAAATAAATAATCAAATAAATAATGTCTTTCTTTCTAATGTAAATGGTGTCTCTGTGTTGCCAGTTATTGTGTGAAAGGCAAAATCAACTGTCTTTTTACAGCTAAACTGCATTATATTGGGTGCAGTTTAGGATCCCTTACATGTTTATATTCAGGTAAGCACATGTGGCAACTATTCCAAATCGGAACTCCTGTGTGCAGGTAGAATTCTCAAGCTTTTCACATGGAAATTTACCATCTATCAGCAGTTTGAATTGGGGTGGATGGGAGACATTTGGCTGGTGTTATTATCAAATAGTTGGGAATCAGAATATTTGCTGATCCCTGCAAATGACACAGAAATCTACCTCTCCCACATAATTGTGTTCTACACTTTTCTTCCTTTAACAACAAAAAGCAACTTCCTATATTGTGCCATACAAAACTCCACATATCCCTGGTAAAAAATCCAAATGATTTAGTCTCATTTGGAGGGAGAGAAAAAGCTACAGTTCATCAGTCAATTGGTTAGCCAGTCACCCATACCGTTGTGCCTGAAGGAGCATTTAGGTCTTCCCCTTCATGCTTTAATTGGACCTTAGTATTCTAAAGCAGGCCTTCTTAAACTTTTCCAGTCAGGACTCCATTTGACCCAAAACATTTTTTCATGACCTCAGGTATATGGTTATATAAAATATGTTTAAAATCAAACATTTACAAATAGCAGATCACATTTGCAAAGCTTGCTAAACAGGCTGGCTTTCCTTTTTGTGGAATACAACTGAAGCATTTTCTGCAGACTCCACTGTAAATACTGCACAACAGATTCACGTAAATGTCTAAAACAGACACTAGGTGATGTTTACTGTTGCTAATTTTTTCATGACCCCAACACTGAGCTAAGAGGATCCTATTTGTTTCTTAAACTGTGAGTCCCAACCCCAAATGGGGTCTTTTTCACATAATGCTGGGGTCACGAAAAAATTAGCAACAGTAAAATGCCATATAGAAATTTACCTAAATCTGTTAGAAATTTACCTAAATCTGTGCAATCTGTGCTTACAACTGCTGGTAGCTGACTAGATTAGGAAAGAGAGCAAATTGTACCACAGTGATGCTCCAGTGTCAATAACCTCCACTTCAAAACCCCTAGGTATCTGCATTTGTGTTTCAGATTCAAATAATCTACTTTGCGGCTACACACTCGCTCCTTGGCAACACCGGACTCAGACCCAATCCTGCATATAAACTATTTGTTCAGGAAAACAATATTTATTATTTAAGTACCACTGAGGGAGTATCAACCTGTTCTTTCCGACTATTAGCAAGCAGCAAACTTAACAGCGGAGTCATCTAGCAGCTGTTAGCACTATACTAATCTCTACAGAGAAACTGACTAGTGGCAGACCGAATGTAAATGTTCACTCATTCCCTGGTACACAGTCACAGGAAACTGCACGGAAAAAATGCATGATACAGAACATATTTAGAAGGCAGATGCTGGGATTCTACTGATCACTGTCCACGTGACTCTCAATTTTAGTTTTAAGTATGAATAAAAAATACATAGAACAGCTTTTCTCAACTTTTTCCCCCTTGAAGCCCTTTCAGGTCTCAGGGACTGCCTCTCTATCACGATTTCTCATGCACCCCCTAGTGACCTCTCAAGGAGTCCAGGGAATTCAGGTTGAGAAATATGGGATAGAATGTGGCTGCAAAACTCTTTCCTGTATGGACTTGGGAAAGTTACCTTATGGACTAAAATTCCCAGACTCCCACAGACAGGATGAAACATTGCCCATGCAGGCAGTATTTTCTAGTAGTTATAACCAGGAAGAGCCATTTTGCCAAGTAGTGATGATCTGGCAATAATAGCACAGTAGAGACTGACAGGTCACAAGTTTGAATTCGGGGAGAGTGCGGATGAGCTCCCTCTATCAGCTCCAGTTCCTCATGCAGGGACATGAGAGAAGCCTCCCACAAGGATGATAAAACAACAAAAACATCCGGGCGTCCCCTGGGCAATGTCCTTACAAAAGGCCAATTCTCTCACACCAGAAGCGACTTTCAGTTTCTCAAGTTGCTCCCGATGCGACAAAAAACAAAAACAAACAAAAACCTTCATTTGACATAATTTTATTTATTTTTGGTGTCATACAACCTAGAATCATAGAGTTGGAAGAGACATTGTGGGCCATCCAGTCCAACCCCCTACCAAGAAGCAGGAAAATTGCATTCAAAGTTTGAAGCCATTGTTCCACAGCCTAGTCTCCAGGGCAGCAGAAAACAAACCTGCTCCCTCTTTCCCTATGACTTTCCCTCTTCTGAGAGCTACACATGCCCAGCTCTTTAAGCCGCTCCTCATAGGGTTTGTTCTCCAGACCTCTGATTATTTTAGTCGCTCTCCTCTGGACACATTCCAACCTGTCAACATCTTCCTTCAATTATGGTGCCCAGAATTGGACAAGGTATTCCAGGTGTGGTCTGACCAAGGCAGAATAGAGGGGTAGCATGACTTCCCTGGGTCTAGGTACTCCTATTTATGCAGGCCAAAATCCACTGGCTTTTTTAGCTGGTGCATCACATTGATACCAAAGTGGATAAGGCTTCTAATCCCCACTCAGCCATGGAAACTGACTGTATGATCTTAAGCAGGTCACATTCTCTCAGCCTCAAAGCACACCCATGACAAATCTGCCCTCAATGAATCTAACCAAGGAAATCTTAGGACAGAGTCTCCATAAGTGGATATTAGCTTAAAGGCACATACAATAAACTCCTTACTGTGACTGGATTACATCATAATATTGTAAAACTTTTTTTTAAAGCTATTGTATAGAGTGGCAGAAGATTATGTATTTTCATGATTAGATATGATCACTTTTTTTTTTCAAATATGGTCCTTAAATTCACATCTTCTGTGGGGGAAAAATGCATCAATTGTCATCTTCCAAAGGGTCTGTTGTAACTAAAACAACAATGAAGTTGTGCATCATTTGAAAGAGCAACCCATTTTATTATTGTTCTTTGTCTTTCTCCGTCAAAGAGTGCTGGTGTCTCAGAGAACTACAAATCCCAGAATTCCCTAGAAAACATTTAAAATCAAATCCATGAGTATCAAATTTGCAAATGCCAAAACTGCAAATGTGAAGGGACAACTGTTTCATTATTAAAAATACTATGTACAAAATGTCCTTAGGTTTATGTCTGTAAGAGTCTATAGGTAAATCTGCACTGTAGAATGAATGCTGTTAGACATCGCTTTCACTACCATGGCCCAATGCTATGGAAACATGGAAACTGTAGCTTTACTAGGTCTTTAGCCTTCTCTACAAGAGTGCTTCGGAAACTACAGATCCCAAGATTCCATAGCATTGAGCTATGGCAGATAAAGTGCTGTCAAACTTCATTAATTCCACACTGTAGATGAACTCTAAAGGTATAACGTATCAATGAGAATTTTGGTGAGATACCAGTGCTCTTTGCCAGAGAAGGTTAAAGACCATGTAAAAACTACAAATCCCAGGCTTCCATAGCATTAAGCCAGGACAGTGGTGTCAGATTGCATTCATCTTACAGTGTGAAAACATAAATGAATTTGTGTTTGGACTTTTTTGTGCATTACCACAATAGAGCTGAAAGAGTGGACAAAGAGTCTGCATCCCATCTGAGATCATGTGGCTGCTTCCTGCAGCATTCTGGGGCTTGAGATTTAGTGAGACCGAGGACTTCTCTGGCGGAGCATTTTAAAGGCCCCTCTACTAAATGACAAGCACCAGATTGCAGCCCAGGCATGGGCAAGCTTGGGCCCTCCAGGTCTTTTGAACTTCACCTTCCACAATTCCTAACAGCTGGAAAGCTGGCTGGGATATCTGGGAGTTAGAGTCCACAACACCTGGAGGGCTGAAGTTTGCCCATGCCTGAGGCAGCAACAGAATTTTAGATGGGATGCAGAGTCTTTGCCTATTCTTTCAGCACTAGTGTGACTTGGGTCCCGCCTGCAGGAGATCTCATGATGTACATGATAACAAACCATTCTCTCTAGGCCAATGTTTCTCAAACTGTGCTCCTCCAGGTACAGCAGAGTCTCGCTTATCCAACCTTCTTTCATCCAACATTCTGTATCATCCAATAGAGTCTGCCTCCTGCCCGGATCCACAGCTGTTTCAATACATTGAGATGTTTTGGTGCTAAATTCATAAATACTGTAATTACTACATAATATTGAAGTGTATTGAACTGCTTTTTTTTTTGCTCGATGATGTTCTGGTGGTAAGGATTGTTGTAAGTTTTTTGGGCTGTATAGCCATGTTCCAGGCCATGTTGTGGAACATGGCCATACAGCCTGAAAAACTTACAACAATCCAGTGATTCCGGCCATGAAAGCCTTCAACAATACATTTTGATGATTAATTTGTAAAATCATAATGTAATTTGATGTTTAATAGGCTTTTCCTATTCAACTTGTATGCAGAACACATTATGCGATGTGTGGGGCTTGATGAATGCAAGGCTGGGGTTAAAATCGCTGGAAGAAACATTAACAACCTTAGATATGCAGATGATACCACTTTGATGGCCGAAAGCGGGGAGGAGATGAGGAGCCTTCTAATCAAGGTGAAAGAAGAAAGCGCAAAAGCTGGGTTGAAGTTTAACATAAAAAAACCCCCAATATTATGGCAATCGGACTGATTGATAACTGGCAAATAGAGGGAGAAAACATGAAGGCAGTGATAGACTTTGTATTTCTAGGTGCAAATATTACTGCAGATGCAGACTGTAGCCAGGAAATCAGAAGACATTCACTTCTTGGAAGGAGAGCAATGACTAATCTTGATAAAATAGTGAAGAGTACAGACATCACAATGGCAACGAAGATCCGCATAGTTAAAGCAATGGTATTCCCCCGTAGTAACCTACGGATGTGAGAGCTGGACCATAAGGAAGACTGAACGGAGGAAGATAGACACTTTTGAACTGTTGTGCTGGAGGAAAATTCTGAGAGTGCCTTGGACCACAAGAAGATCCAACCAGTCCATACTTCAGGTAATAAAGCCCGACTGCTCATTGAAGGGAAGGATATTAGAGGCAAAGATGAAGTACTTTGGCCACATCATGAGAAGACAGGAAAGCTTAGAGAAGACAATGATGCTTGGGAAAAAGGAAGGAAAAAAGAAGAGGGGCCGACCAAGGGCAAGATGGATCGATGGCATCCTTGAAGTGACTGGCTTGACTCTGGTATCCTTGAGCTAGGGATGGTGACGGCTGACAGGGAGCTCTGGCGTGGGCTGGTCCATGAGGTCGCGAATAGTTGTAAGTGACTGAACGAATAAACAACAAAGGCTTTTCCTTAATCTCTCCTTATTATCCAATTTATGTTGGCTAAGTGAGACTCTACTGTATTTTGGACTTCAGTTCCCTGCTGTTAGGAATTGGGGAAGCTGAAGTCCAAAAAATCTGGAGGAGTGGTTTGAGAAACTTTGCTCTAAGCAGTGGTTCCCAATGTTTGGTCCTCCAGGTGTTTTGGACTTCTGCTCCCACAATCCCTAATAGCTAGTTAAGCTGGCTAGGATGTCTGAGCGTTGAAGTCCAAAGCAACTGGAGGATCAAAAGGTTGAGAACCACTAAAGAAAAAATCCCAACGCACTTCTGTCGCCAAGCACTTAGGAGAAAGGTTGCCGGCTCAGCTCAGCGTGGCATTCTTAGGGAAGCCGGTCTCGAGGGAAGAGGAGGGGGCTCCTAGTCCTTACCAGCCAGGCAAGCGGCGGTGTCCATCCACTGGAGGAGCTGCCCGGCGCTGAGCTGCCCACGCTGGTCGCTGTGCGTGGGAAGGACGGCCTGGCACATGGGCACCTGCGCGCCCGCCATGCGCCCTCCGCCCTCCGCCTTCCTCTCTCCCCCCTTGGCTCTCTTCTCACCGGCGACTCATGCCAGCCTCCCGGAGCGATGCCTTCCCTCCCCTCTCCTCCTCCTCCTCCCTGAGCCCTGGCTGGGCTAATGTGTAAAGGAGTACAGAGTGCGCTCTTGGGCCCCCAAGTGGAGCTGGAACTGGACTAGCTCCCTCCTCCTCCTCCTCTTCTGTCTGGAAGCAGTGATTTCAATACATTGCCAGACTGCACTATTCCACCTTGAATAGTGCAGTTTGGCACCACTTTTAGCTACCATGCCTCAATGCTATGGCATCCTGGGTTGTTTGTAGTTTGGTGAGGCACCTGCACTCTTTGGCAGAGAAGGCTCCAGACCTTGCAAAACTACAACTCCCAGGATTCCATAGCATTGAGACATAGGAGTTCCAAGTGGTGATACACTGCGTTAATTCCAACGCGGGCATGGGCAAACTTGGGCCCTTCAGGTGTTGGGACTTCAACTCCCAAAATTCCTAACAGCCTCAGGCCCCTTCCTTTCCCCCCTCAGCCGCTTAAACCGGGTTGTGGTGCAACTAGTTAGTAGCCAGATGCATTAAATCCCTACTGATCAAGAGGTCATGAGTTTGAAGCCAGCCCATGTCAGAGTGAGCTCCTGACCATTAATAGTCTAGCTTGCAGCCCAAAAAACAGTTGCATCTGTCAAGTAGGAAATTTAGGTACCACTTTATGTGGGGAGGCTAATTTAACACCATAAAATCTTCCAGCAGTGTGCATAAGAATGAGGAAGCACTCCACCAAGGACTCGGTGTCACAAGTGGGTGGTGAAGCGGCAGCTCCCTCTGTGGCCAGAATTGAGCAGGCCCTCATGAAGCCAGAAAAGCTGGCATGTTAAATTGCCTCTGTGTCTGTCTATATATGCTGTATGTCTAAATGACATTGAATTTTTGCCATTTATATGTGCATTGTAATCTGCCCTGAGTCCCCTGCGGGGTGAGAAGGGCGGAATATAAATTTTGTAAGTAAGTAAATAAATAAGCCCATGCCTATTCTAAAGTATAGATTTATATACATAGACTAAAGGTCATTTTATACATCGTAGTTTCAATGCTATGGAAGCATGGGAGTTGTCATTTCAAGCTTTTTTTTGCCAAATAGTACTGGTACCTCTTCAAACTACAACTCCCAGGATTCCATAGCATTGATCTATGATGGCTATAGTGGGACAAAACTGCATTAATCGTACAGTGTTGATGGAACCTCGGTTCCTAGGAAACCGCAGCCAAGGAAAGGGGGAAAACAAAACATTTGAATAGAGCATTACGTAAGCGCCACTCTTTTTACACCAAAAGTGTAAAAAAAGCCGATTCAACAAAAGCTCCTTTGTCATGCAAGGTTAGGTCTCTGGAGAACCTAATGTGACAGCTGAGTGTTTTTCCCCCCATGAGTGCCTTGTCCCAGATAATCATAAATAGCAGGGATTTCTAATGTTTTGGTTGCTCAGGACAGGTTGTTCCTGGGCAAAAAGGCCACAGAGTTTGTCTCAAAAATGCTAAACAAAGCTAAATTGGGCAGGTTAAAGCTTACAAAAGTTCACAGTTTTGTTGAACAGTAGAAATGTGTCCCCAGAATGCATAGCTGATTTGAAACAATAGTACAGGTTGGGTCCCCCTCGATGGACTGTCACCTTGTCGTGGTGAGGGGGCTTGCGCGTTCCGATAAACCTGTAGGCACAACAACTGGAGTCGTGCACTCCCAGGAGTGGCTGCGGGGGGGGTTCCAGACCAAGCACAGTCCGAAGACCCAAAGACCTCAACGGCGGAGCAGGCGGAGGATAACATGGCCCATGTTACAACGGCTGCGAAGGCGGAAGAAGGCTGCAACAGACTGAGAAGCCACGGTCATTGTGTTAAACTACATCACCAGTGGAACCTCACTCTGTGAAGTCTGTGTGTTGATCAGTTGTGCACTGACCTCCACACATTAAAAAAACCCACGCACAGGCGTCTTCCAAAGAAAATAAAAACAAACCAACCAAAGCCCCATGGCGATCAGCGAGTGGCGACGGGGGCAGGACTGTGAAATCTGGAAGCCCCTAGTCACAGACTGGCACATGGGCGGTGGGTACGGACTCAGTCGTTCTACCTCAAGGTCCGAGGCAGTTGAGTAGTTCGGCAGCTGTATCCGCGACTGAGCAGCACCTTTTTAGGACCCACTCTGCTCACCCCACATGGGGAAGGGGCTAGAAAAGGTGCCCTAAACATAGTCTGCCTCTCTTATCCCTGACTGGACTGCCGTCCAGTGGGGTCACCATCCACCACGGCCACCATGCAAACCCGACCTCCACTAATTCGTCGATTAGGACCTGGTCTCCTCAACAATCAGTCATCTTAATCCGACCAACCTGCTCACTTGCACCTGCTAGTCAATCACAGTCCCAAGGATCTCGACACGGCATCGCATAACCTCAACCTGCTCCTGTTCTTCTATCCTCCAGCACGGCATAGCGTTTTCATTGAACTCCTAGTCCGGCGGCCTCATCAATCGCTCTCTGCGCTTGCTTGCTTCATTGCGTCCCAATCATCCCTCCTGCTCTCTCCGCAGGTCATCCTCGGCTAACATGCATG